ATATGTGTTTCTCAATAGGATACGCATGTTTTGAGATTACATATCTTCGCATACGTGTGCCAGGTAGATCTTTCCGGATACCCCGACACATGACGGGGATGAAAGATGGGATACAAAGATACGAATGGACATTTGCCAAGTGAAAACTTCTGCGCGGACAGTGCTCTACGCGAAAACAATAAACAACTATCCTGTATCTGAAATAAACTGAAGAACGGTCATTTATCATTATTTTTTTGAGAATGCGCTACACAAGTCATGACAGATTGAAAGTTATGCGGTTTGCGTTATATTGCGTTATATTGCGCTAATACGCGTACTCAATTAGTATTATTCTTGAAACAAAAACACGATGTTTATTTGCTACGAAAATGGCAGCTTCTATGCATTTCGATACGGTTAGTCACTTCAATCTCACCAAAACACGCGTATGCAACGTTTGGTAAATTGAAATCGCTCTTTTCTGCGAGGACCTCTTATAACTAAGATTCAAAAATTTTCAATCAAAAGATATATAAAAATAAAATAATTATTTTATGTTTCAATAAAATCACTTTTTATTATAATACGTTTTTAGAAAAATGAAATAATTTTTCTGTATCATTAAAAAATGTTTTGAATTTGTATTCTTAAAATAGATTAATTTATTTTTCAGAACTGAAATTTAATTTATGTGGAAAAATCTACCAGTGAAACTATTTACACTATCACTAATTTAAATCATTTTAAGAACAAAAACTCAATATATTTTTTAGTAGCATAGAAATTCATTGATCCAAAAAATGGTGAACTATTATTTTTTAAAACATAATAATTTTTCTTTTAATTATTTTCTTAGAAAAAATTAGATATAAAATTAAGTAATCACATTTAAAAACTTAACTGATAAAAATCTATAAATAATATCTTTTATTTTACGAAATACAAAATTTGTATTGACGAGAATACAAAATTTTACTGATATTTATGAACAATTTTTCCTGTGAATTCTTTCACTACATTTTGTTATCCAAAATTGTTATATTTTTGCTGACTGTTCTACATTTCGACATTTACAACAGACATTTTCAAAATTTATTTTCAATAGATTTGGCTATGGGAATATGGTTGTTGATTTTTATCTATCTATAGATGAATTATATCTCATTAATTAATTATATGTAAAATTAACGTGATATAATTATCTTGAATCATTACATAGATATGCTTATATTTATATATCTATTTATGCTTATTTCAATAACGAGAACATACTTTATTCGTGGGCCATCTAATAGTTGTTGGTGTTATTATACGTAATATAAAATAATTTTGTATATACTCACGGACGCACTATTCAATGTTACATGGTAGTATGTATCATCACTATTAGATGGCCCGCGAGTAAAGTATGTTCTCGTCTCGTTGAAATAAGCATAAATAGGTGAAATAAGCATAAATATAAGCATATGCAATGACTCAAGATAATTATATCATACATAATTATTTTTGCATTTAATTAATTAGTGACGTAATTCAGTCTGTAGATAAAAATCAATAACCATATCCTCATGGCGAATATCCGTCAAGAATAGAATTTGAAAATGTCTGCTAATGTCGATAGAATGCAGAAATATAAAAATATAATAAAGTAAAGGGTGATTATATTGAAAAAGAAATTATCATTTTGTCACTTTTTATATTCTTTAATTGGAAAAGTTTTGAACCTTATTATATATTATCCTTATTATATATTATCTTATTATATATTATTTATCTTATTATATATTATCTATATTACGTTTGTTCCAATTCTGACTTTTGTTCACAAATACGGCTTATTAATACTTTTTCAGTTACAGAGGCTTCCACAGATATTTATCTCAAAGATACCAGAGGATTTGCGGGTTATCGCTGTGATGTGATCCATATTGCCATTAACAATGGATCATGACACGGCGATAACCCGCAACTCCTCTGGCATTGTCTTCGAAATACGGCTTGTCTTACGAAAACGAATAGTATGTATATTAGAGCTAACAAATATTAATTAAATAGCATCCAATCTATAATTAGCGTCGGAATGTAGAATATTCTACTTGTAATATCATGTTAAAAAATTGGAATCATAATGTATGCATACATAAAATATATAAGTATACAATATACATGTAAAAAATTATAAATTTCAGGCTAAAAAGCTTACATCTTCTAAAAAAAATATGTATCTATTAATCGAAAGCCAAATGTAATAACATTAAATATAATTAATACGAAGCACGTATATTTAATGAATATGCGACAAATAGATTTTAGATTCGGCATTACTGACGCATTCCCGATTTCATTAAATGTTCGTTCTTGGATGCGCACTCCGCGTATTCGAGATATTTACGCTCTCGACAAGTTGGGAGACAGTTGAGTCATTCCAGTTTCAGATCGCCGCTTTATTAGTTTTTGAATATAACATGACATAAATCAGTTTCCTGGCACATCTTGGCCTCGCGACACCTGTTTCCTTCGCGCAATCATTGAGATTCTGATCCGAATAATATACTCGCAGTCACGTGCGGCATGTGGCTTTTATTTACGGGAAATGATCACATTTTCCTCGGTCAAGGTTTTATTTTTTTTAGTTCATGGCTATCACTTTATTGCTTCTTATTAATAAGATCATATAATTCTGAAGATGTTTCGGAAATTAAATGAATTATCTCTTAGTAAAAATTTATGTTCTCAATTAATAAATTGAAAATTTATTAGTTTAATTAACAATAAAGGCATCAGAATATAAAAAAAAATTCCGATAATTTAATCAAGAATTTTACAAATTCTCATATTTTTGTTAACATTGATAGAATTATTAATTTTTCATTGTTTGACGTGTAAAAAGAATCGATATTTTATATTTGTTTATTAATTTTTATATTTTTTATTTACAAATAATTTACGTAACATAATTAACAAATAATTTTACAGCAAAATCCAATTGTTTAATATGTTATTAGTTTGCTGTAATTGCGAATAAATGCAATATTTTTAAAATTCAGTTGATTTAGGCCAATACAATAGATATTTAACTTTAATCTCGGTTTAACTATAATTCTTTATTTTTTTCTAGTTTTAAGAATAAGAAAAAGATAAAGAATAAGTTGAATTGAGATTAAAATTAATCTACATTGGTAGAAACGAGCATTAGTGTGTTTAAAAAAAAAGGAAAGTCATCATACGTAACAATCGATTAATCGATCCGATTTCAAAGATAAGAATGATTGTCGATAGATCGATTAGTCGACTTGTCATTTTTATTTCTTAATTGAGGTCGGTTAGTATTTTGACGTTTCCTGCTGATATTTCGTTTGTATATCTTATATTTCTTGTTCACGCGTGATTATCTCTGATTACAATCGTCCACAATTTGCAAAACAACATCTTTAACAACGAAGAAGATGCCTGGCACTCCAATGGAGCGAGACAGTAACATGTTAGGGAAGCTGCAGAGCGAACGGACGCAAGACGAACCGAAGTGCGAGTCCGTTGTACGAGAGATTACGCAAACTGATCGGCTGAATAAGAAGTTGCTCGTGTCGGTTTTGGAGCGTATGAAAAAGTCGGACGGACAGTTTGACAAATTTATGGAGGACGGGAGAGGAAGTTGCGAGTCGTACGACGACAGCGAATTTTAGAACGACCTGTAAATCCGAGTATCTAAGTAAGTCTAACCTATACTTTTAGGTCGTTTACTCATTTAAAGAGATTTTACCAATTATAGAGATTTGATATCGTTTGATATGAGAAACTGTACTTCCCATATCGATTTTGTCACAACTTTGAGTCAATTGCTACAAATCCTTTAAAGCAATTATTTATTTGATTGATCAATCAGAAGAAAGAATATTATTACTACTGATTTCAGAAATGTTATGCATTTTAAGATTTTCCTTATGATTTTTTTAGAAACCTGCTTAAGCGGTGATCAAATTGAATCAATAGATACTTCACATCATGGCGGAGATTTCAGATTACGAGGGCGATGATATTATAGAACATTACGAGAATCAAGAATCCAATGATGAACGTGACAGTCGTGGAGAAGCGGAGGATGCAACTTCTGACAATGAGACAGGAACTGCAAGGAGAATCGATCCATCAAAGTCCAAGTCTAAGTCGCATGTAGTAAGAAATCCTGTGCCCAAACTTAACACAGAAAGACTGACAGGTCCCAATGGTATCCAAACCATCGAAAAGTATTTTGAAGGCTTTAAATTCTACGGCAAGGGACATGAAAAAACGGACCTTGACAGAATCATGAAGAGACTGGAACATTGGTCCTATCGATTATTTCCCAAGTACCATTTCGATGATTTTCTTACGAGACTCGAGCAACTAGGGACGAAGAAAGATTTACAGGTATTTATCAAGAAATATCGATTAGATATGATTACCTCGGATGATAATTTGATCACTAATGATATGGATGAAGATGATGAGAATGAACAGGAGGAAAGCGCACCTTTAGATAACTTCGATTTGCTAATAACAGAACAAATTCAGAAACAAAAGCAAGCTGAAACACGGGCTTCTATTGATTCTCCAAGCACTTCAAATGAGGATGCATTTGACAAGCTTTTAATGCAGTCCACTGGTACACAAAATTCACAAGTGCCACATACAAATATTACCGCTAATGAAATGAATGACGAACTAAAGCAAAAAATCGAGAGAAACAAGCAACTAGCTATTCAAAGAAGACTCCAAAGGCAGAAAGAGCGCGAGGAAGAAGTTAAGAGAACAAAGTTCGATGATACAAATGTAGAAACTCTAAACAAAAGCAATAATCTTACAACCCATAATGAGGCGAATATATCTCAGGTAGACAGTATAGCATCACAAATCAACAAAAATACAAATGAAGCAATTGTTACTGAGACAATACTAAATGAAGAGTTAGTGAATGAAATAGACCATATTTAAGTAAAATAAAATCTTGCAGTAGGTGTAAGTTTTGCTGTCCACAAAAAATATCATATACGTTTATTATACAGTATAAAAATTGTCTCATCTTGAATTACTATATACTTAGAAGTAAGCCAAAATGTATTATTTAGAGATATATGTAAAGATGAATTTTTTCAAATCTTATTAAATAAACATTTAGTTTTTAGTTATTTATATTTCATGATTAATTTCTACGTTTCTGTGTACTGATGTACAACACATTGTTTCCCCGTATAAAAGCATCTCCATATTTATCTTTCAATTGTCCATTAACATACTCTTCCGTTTGTTCAAGTGCTATGTTCATGTAGCCATCTATACAAGCTAGTACACCTGCAAACAATACATAATATTAGGACATGGAGTGTTTCAAAAGAAAAGTATTTTAAGGCTAATATTAATAACTTGTTCTTATTTCAAGACAATTTTAAGTGATATTTTAAAATGTTAATACGCATGACTCTCTGGTTCTCATAATTAATTCTTCTATTTAAGACTATATTAAGTATAGTATTAAGATATTATGAACCAATCAGAGAGCCATATTAGCAGCTTAAAACATATATTCTTTAAGACTGTTTTAAAATAAGAATTGACTATCAGCTTCTTATTGATTCACGATTTTATTAAGATTGATTTTTAAGATTATACTTAAATATAAAAGTATAAATATCAATCTGTGATGGATTTATGACATCTTAAGATTACAAAAGATGATTCTTAGAACTGATTATGAATATCGGTTTAAGATTCAAAATAATAATCACTAATTAAAAATAATACACAGTAATATTCACTAATTATATTAAAAACACATTGATATAGATAAAAATTGACTCTTAAGACGCAATTCTTGATTTTTAATATAAACAAGTTTCTATATATTAAAAATTAAATGTTACTATATATTAAAAGTAAGTATTTATTAATATATATGTTAATATTGTTAATAAATATCTACCTCTGTAATCGACGCCACTGTTCAGTTTTACAACAACAGGTCGACCATGAATTTGTTGTATAAATTGAGATAATGCTTCCTTTCGACTCATCTATTAAAATAACACAAACGTAATATTTAATACCTTAAAGAAATTATGCATTACAGAAAAATAAATAATTGCATTTAAAGCATTGTTTATATGGCGCGATGTTCAGTAATTTTTTTATTTAACAATAAAACACGAATAAAATCGTCAGCACTATTCTGCATACCTTCGAACAATTGATCTCTTCTCGTGAGTCGTCTAAATTCAAAACAATTTTAACCTCTCTTCGGAGTTCGGACAATGGCATACAATAGACGCCAAGTCGGTAAAACAGTTAGCCAGCTTACCGATTGAATATGATTAGTTTAGGTTTCTCTCATACTTGTAGATCCACTGTTTCGCATCCAACTTCATAAAAATTACATTCGACGCTAAAGCGCCACAAATTTTGGAACATAAGATCAAAGATGAAAAAAGACATAAATTTTATTGTATTTCTAAATTTAGTAAAATCCGAAAATGTTTATTTACATTTTTTAGTATTTATTGATTAAGCATTAAAAAATTTTTCTTTTTAAATTTTTTGTAGTTTTGCGAATTCAAGATAAAAAGCTTTATTATTTTTAATAATATTGTAACAAAATATAATTAAGTTTGATCATGTTGCAATATTATATAATAAAAGTGAAGGAAAAACAGATTATTATCTTTTTAAATAACGGTAACTGTAATTAATTTTTAAAAATAACTTTTCTATTCTGATTATTACACATTAAATTATAGCGTGTTACGAATAATTACAAAAAGGCAAAAAATAATAGAATCATCAAATATATGCGTGTAAAAGACATATATACATATTATACTTTTTTCTCAGGAATGTTGCGTCATCGATCAGATAACATCATGTATGCCCATAAAAAGTGTACATATATAAAAGTCACTATATGAATTATTCATGAGTGATTGTAGATAGGATGGATATTTTAAGCTAAATCACCCACGCATCATCACCCACAGTGATGTATTGACTAATTCTTCACTGATTTCATATTATACATATTATATATGAATGCGTCATATAAGAAAAGAAAATGATATATTTTTTTAAATTATAAATTATGTTGATTATTAATAATTGTCTTTGATAATTGGCATCATCATTTTTTTTTTAAATGTTTATAAAAATAAATATTATCTAGTACAAAATTTGTTACGCACATCAGTTAGCTAAACAGTTTAAAGTAAAGAGCGTGTTCAATACATTAATTGCGAAAATATAATCTTAATCATATTACAGTATATATTTTGTTCAACTAATAATAATAATAATAATAATAATAATGAAAATTCTATGGTGTACAAAACATAAAAAATAAAACATACAAAACTCACTGTGCAGAAAATGTATTAATAAACACTCAATTAAAGACGGATAATTACATTACAAAAAACTAGGAAATGACAAAAAAATTTCCAGTCAATTATCATCATGCAACCGGATTTGTAGTCCCGAACACAAACAAATCTTGATGTACCGTCAGACTATTATATTATAATCACGAAGTTATACAACGCGATTAGCGATAAATTACATCATTTGACGAGCATTCATTAATGAAAAACTAATAAGAAATCGGTATTCCCAGCTAATAAAACAGCATTAACTAACGCATAAATAACTTTATTATATAGAGAGATAACAGGCATTATGTATATTTACAGGCATTATATTTATTTGATTGGTATTATGATTCGTCATATTTATATACTTATATTGAGAGATTTTAAAGCGCTATACAATCAGATAATTTAAGATTCAATAAAATTTCATTTGATTACACTTAGAAATAAAAATAAAACTTGAAAAAATTTTTATAACTAAACGCTGTATTTAATTTATGCTAGTTTTTAATTTATTAGACAATGACATATTTGATGTATTATTATAATAGATTGTAGACATTTAAGATGTGAAAAAATGAAATTTTTTTATTACAAAAATGGAGAAACAGGAAAGTGGATCACTCTAATTTTATAAATTTTATAAATTTTATAAATTTCATAAATTAAAGAGGTTTTTTAAATCATTACGAAAATAAATAGTTAGAAATATTTTCGACATTGACAATATTTAGACATTGATCTTAACGTTAATTATAGAAGACGCAAATGCTTTTTCTTTGTGGGATTAGGAAACATCAATAAAGCACTCAGAAGAATGTTATATAATCTCATGGATTTATTTTAAGCGTCACATCACGCTTAATGGGATTTGGAAATAAATAAACCGTAGACCTTGAATTGTACTACGTTAAAAATATAGATATTTATAATCACAGCTATGCATCTTCAGTCGTAAGGAAGATCTCTAGCACAGCAACAATTTCCGAAATTAAGATGAAAGTTAAACGCGAGATTTACGCTGGAATTTTACCAGCTTTAACGGAGTAAGTACCTTTACCGGTACTGTCTATGTTAGACGCGCTGCTGCTGTAAACTCCTTTGGCTCCTTCGACAGTACCGCTCTTGCTGGTACCACCATCATCAGTGCCACCAATACGGGAGAATAGACTACAAACGAAATCAAGCAGTTATCAAAAACTTAATGATTCTTATCAAGGAATTTTAATACTTTGATTTGAAAGTTATAATAAAGTACACAATGAGTTTAAAATTTTTAGATAATGATCTCTGTCTTTTCTTTTTAACATTTTCCTCATTTTTTTTAATAATTTCAATAATTAGAGTTCTTTTTTTATAGAAATAAAAGGAAACATATTTTTTAATGAAACTGAAGAACTTTTTAATACTTTGAAACTTTGAAAATTTTGTATGAAATGTGTAAAGTTTTTAAAGAAACAACAATTAGTATTTGCTATTGGGTCTTTGTTGACTTATGTCTGTTCAAGGTATATTTATTCAATAAGTTATTATTTGTTCAATAAGTTATTACCAACTTCCATAATCATCAAATACGTAGTTTGCGTATTGGATTGTATGACGAATAAAATATACGGAGATATTCGATTTTACAAGCAAGAAACTTGTTCACCTTGAACTATTCTGTTGGGAAAACGTGGATTCATCATATAAATTCTGATGTCATTAGACGATTGTCGATTAATAATTTTTTTTGCAGTGTTTTGGATAATCATAATACCGAGATATTAATCATAATAATAGATTGTTAAATTAGAAAATATTTTTTAATCTTTTAAACAAAATTAAAAATTAAGGCATCAATATAAATCGTTTCCAAGTCATGGGTGAGACTGAAATACTTCTAAGTTTTATGATATATATATATATATATATATATATATATATATATGTATATATTTGTAATACATACTCCACTCCCGGTCCATGACCGCCAAGACCTCCGTGACCTCCATATCCGCCACTTCCAGCACCGGCAGTTGCGCTCGCACTAGCTTGGGCATTAGCACTACTATATCCACCACCACTAGACCCGCATCCTCCACTAGCACATCCACCTAGAACATGAGACCCAATTAATTAATTTATCTTAATTAATTAACATTGTCTCAAGCCGTTAAATTTTTATTCTAATTACCTCCATGTCCACCTCCCAATCCACCTCCGTGTCCTCCACCGTATCCACCACTTAAACCTCCTCCATGTCCACCTAAACCTCCTCCATATCCACCACCTAATCCGCCAGAACCACCGCCAAGTCCTCCATGTCCACCTCCTAATCCGCCAGAACCACCGCCAATTCCTCCATGTCCACCTAATTCACCAGCTAGTATTAACTCAATAATATTAGCTCAATTTTTTAATGTACCTTTTTCAAGGTTACCATCTATTATCTATTACATCAACATCTATTACTAAAATTTACATAGAATGTTTCAAAACTTGAAAAGATATGGGAATGTAGAATAGTTCAAATTTTTAGAATTATTAGAGAGATTATAAAAGTAATAAAAGTATGTCGAAAATATAAAATTTAAAAAACAAAGATAATTTCAAATATATTTAAATCGAATAGATTTTAATAGCATAAATAAGTTAAATATTTTTTTTTATGTTTTTTTATGGCCACCTTCGTAGTTATCTGTATTGTAGAACCTACCTCCTAAACCATCGTTGCCATATCCACCTCCACTGTAACCTCCGGTACCACTACCTCCGTAACTACCATCCCCGCCATACCCACCACCACCACCACCACCAGAACTATCACCAAGTCCTCCGTGACCACCACCACCATGTCCTCCGGAACTACTTCCGCCATAACTGCCAGCACTGGCACTACTTCCACCGTAGCTGCCGGCACTAGACCCACCTCCACCATAACCACCTTCACTAACTTTGCCAATTCCATCTCCATCACCGTGACTATCTAAAAATGCGCAAAAATTATATAAAAAAAAATAAAGCGTGTATAAAAAGCTTTATATATTAAAATGGTCTTAATAAATTATTATGTTGTTATAAAAAAAGCAAAGAATAAAAACCATTTATTTTAATTAATTTTTTTTTAATTACTTTTACTATGTTATTTGATTAATTATACTTATTTCTTTATATTATTTCTTTATATTATTTTTAGACTGCGTAAATTTTTTAGTATTAATAATATTTTTTTTAAACGTGTTATTCTATTATTGTAAAATGAAAACGAAGCGTAACTCTATTTAGATTATCACTAAGTATTAATTTCTAGTGTTATAATTACACTATCTACATATGTATCTACATATGTATCTACATTCTATATACATACAAAAATTTTGTTTGAACTTACCACCACCATAGCCTCCAAGTCCTGAAAAAGATTTACGAAACATTAATTTTAGATTAAGTATTGATATATATACTTTTGTAAATTAAACATTTGAAGAAATATAATAATAAATAAGAAAACTAATTATTCTTGATTAAACTGCTTAAAACTAATAAAAAAAATAAAAAGTTAATCACCATATCCACCTCCATGGCTACCACCTCCGTATCCACCGCTGCCTCCATATCCGCCGCCGCCGCCTCCATGTCCTCCACCTCCATGGCTGCCACCTCCGTACCCACCACTGCCGCTATGTCCACTTCCGAATCCACCGCCATCATGGCCACCTCCGAGTCCACCGCCACTTCCGAGTCCACCTCCGTGACCACCACCAATTCCGCCATGTCCGCCGCCACTTCCGAATCCACCTCCGTGACCACCACCAATTCCGCCATGTCCGCCGCCACTTCCGAGTCCACCTCCGTGACCACCGCCTCCGTATCCACCTCCGCTACCATCTCCGAAACCACCACCAATGCCACCTCCTAAGCTGCCACCGTGTCCACTGCCACCTCCTAGGCTGCCATCGCCACCGCCAAAGCCACCATGTCCACCGCCACCCCCATAACCGGCGTGTCCACTGCCTCCTCCGAGTCCGCTATGACCACCGCCACTACCGAGTCCACCACCACTGTGTCCACCACCACCGTATTCACCACCATGTCCACCGCCTCCGTATCCTCCACTTGTCAAAGCTGAGGATTGTGCACCTGCTGAAGCACTGCCGATAGCTTGAGAATTGGATTTGGAGAAACCGCTACCATCACCATACGAGCTTGCGCTGGCCGAACTGCTAGCGCTACTGGAGGCGAAGCCTCCGCTATAACGCTTCAAACGCGGTAATTTATCTTCTGCAACAAATTGAACAAATTGTTTTTATATTATCAAATTAAATGACTGAAAATGTAATTTTAAATTAATCACAAATCCATTTATATACAGAATTATATAAAATATATTTTTTATAAATAATTCTCTTTTTTAATATTGTTTCATATTATGAAATCACCAATTCCACCAATTCCAATTGCATTTCCGATTCCCCCACTTATGCCAACTTCACGGCTGAATCTGATATCGTCATTTTCACCGCGTGTATCATATACATCCCTTACTATTATAGAAAAATGTACAACTGTTTTAATGCTTGTAAAAAATTAAAATGTATTAGCTTAAGTAAAATGTTTATCTTGGTTCAGAGTTCAAGTATTTACAAACAACAATTATCTATATGCGACTGTAACAAATTTCTGCAATTAGAGCAAAGATTTGTTATCAATTTTTCAGAAAAAATTTAAAAAATTTAAAACTTGCAATGGTTTTGTATTTTTATATATGCTTTCTTCGAAGAGCAATCGCAAAGCTAAAAAGGAAGACGCGCAACACACATTTACATATATTAATGAATGTTATGTCATGAGAGAAAGATTATCGTTATCTTACTAATAACAAAATCTTGGAAAACCAAATTGACATTTTACGCATTATATCTTGTATAAACTGTAAATATCAATTTTTAAATAAGAACAATGTAATTATTTTATCATTTTGCTGTTTAAGATTTTTATTTTGCTTGTTATGTAAAATAAAATATTAATTGTATATTTTATGCGTACATATATGTATAGGTATATATTACAAAATATGTTTATATTAGGATAAGAAAATATTTAATAATGATAGTAAAATATTGAAGTTTTCTTTTATATGTTCCAGATTTGATGAAAGAGTTTTTCTTTTTGTAACAAATATATCCTTTTTTATTTAAACAATAAAAATAATAACAAAAGCAAAATGTATCTCAGGCAAATTAATAATGACGACAAGTTAATGCAGAAGAAGAAAATAATTTACCTATTCCATCTGGACTATTTAGTCTACCAGCTAATGACGCTTGTGCTTGAATACATGTTGCGAGTATTAAGGCCAAAAGGCCGATTGTCCGACACTGCCACATGATGATATCTGGTCTCCTGATCGGTCTCCTGATCGTCTTTATATCTTGCCTCCCACTCGATCACTCATCCTTCCTAAAACTCTGAGTACTTCGTTGGAGAGACGGATTGAGAAGCAATAAGAGCAAAAAAGTGCGATGCATATACAAGGTTGATGTAATCAATGTGTGATCTTATCCTGGTCGGGAATTCACCTGGGCCTGTGTCATCGTATCTTCTTGTTTATCTTTCGTTTACCTTAATTTCGATGACATAAATAGTTTACATCCTGTTACAAAATAAATGTAAACAATTGTCTTCAGAAAGTATTTTGAATTAGACGAATGCAATATAGTTATAATTGCAATTCTAAAAATAAAAGGTATACACAATTTGTTTTTTCTTAATTTTTTTTTTTTAATTAATTCAATTTCATTCTTGATATTTCAAAGATTATGTAGCGTTAGATATGAATAACGCAAAAATATATTGTTTGTAGTTATTTGCGATAACATAAAAAAATACTGGTAATCCATGTTGGACCAATCGAATGAATTGATCTTTGTAAAAAAAGAAGATAAACTTATTTAAAAAAAGATATAAGAATTATAAAAATAATTTATGCTAAAATAATAATTTGTATTCTACGGATTATGTCTATCTTTTCAGAGAAGTATGGAAAATAAAGTAATTTTTTACTTCGTTATTTATAGCAAAAATGTATTTATTAGACGATTCAAGAAAAGAAGCCTCTTTTCTGAAGGTCAAGCCATATGCAGAACAAGAGATGCAGATTTAATCACAATGTTAACAAAGAGAAATAAAAGTAATAATACTAAATAAAGACTTTCTCTTGTTTAATATGATTTACTAACTTATCACTTATTTATTTTTGCTGAGAATATGTGCTAAATATCCGTTAATAATGTAAATGTTTGGTCGTTGACATTATCAATTTTTAATAATTCAAACAGCCACAAGATGACACATCTAAATTTATAATATAAAATATTTACACGAAAGTCATTTGTAGCCTCCAGCTAATTTGTCTTAATGAATTTCAATGTCGTTTCACAGATTTATTACTTCCAATTTATTACTGCCAATCGTTAATACGTAATAATATTTGTCAATAATAATTGTGATTTTCATATTATCACAAATTACTGTATAAGAAATAAATATGTCTCAAAATAAATGTTAACAAAGAATTTAGTATTGTTTTTAAAATTTTAATGTTTTCTAATGTTGAACGAATAATTATAGCAGTAAATATTAAAAAATCATATATTTGTTAAAGAGTTCATATCACAGTATTAAGAAATATAGCTAATTTAATATTGGATTGTCCGGAAAGTTTCGTGCCGACGTTGAAGGAAAATTTAAAGGCAGAAAATTTAAATTTTAGTATATATTTATTAAATTATATAGGTTAGTCGGCACGAACTTTCCGGAGGACCCAATAGATCATCGAAATAGAATTTGAAAATATATGGACATAAGGAAACAATCGCACATACTTATGACATTTATTACATGTTATGTAGTTTTAGAAAAGAATAAATATAAAATGTAGAATGATTAGTTGATGCTACCTTCAGCATAAAATACTCATAAGATAGCATCATAAAAATTATAATTTCTATTTTTCCATAAATTGCAAGTTCCATAAGAACGATATGTAATTTTTTTTTAAAATTATTAATTTGCATTTTTAATGTGTCTTTACTTAATCGTCAATTAGTGTGTGTTATAAATGATAATTAAGTTTTGTTCAT